GAAAATCCAATCTTTTTTTTTTTTGGTGGATTGTTTTTCAAATACTTCGTTCCATTTAGGGTTGTGTAACCTTTATTCTGCGTATTGGCTGCATATTCCTTCAGTTTTTCTTTGATTTTTCGACTCCTCATCATTGCAGCAGTATATTTTTCTGTCAGGGTAAAATTTGAACAGTTTTGTTCTTTTTATCACTTGTTTATCACTGACTGTCGCTGCAGCATTTTACTCAATAGCAGCTGTGTCTTTATTCAAATATGCATCAGAAGCCGAAAAAAATTTTCTAGGCAAAAAAGAAAAACAGTTGTTGAAAAAATCATGAAAAAAACAGGCTAAAACTTTTTGCCTCTCTCATGTTAACCACTAAATTTACAATCACAGAATGAAAAAACAAATTCTTCTGCCATTTAGAGCTCATTCACAGCCAAAAGGTCAACAGGTTTTTTTTTTTTTCAAAATTAATGGGTTTGTATAAATTCAGTTCATTTCATCCTTTCGCTTCTATTTTTTTTTCAGTAAAAATGACAACGTCCAATGATGCAGAAATAATTAACATAAGACTTTTTCTCAGTTCTGATGACCATCCTGAAACGAGCGCTGACAGAGTAGCGCGTGAAGAAGCGGAGCTTAAACGAGGAGTTAGAGAACTAAAATTCAGAAAAAGAAGGCTGTCACAGTCTGAAGAATCAGACGAGTATCTTCAAAGACCCTCGTCCAAGAAAAAAAAAAGAAATACAGCCAACTGTAATAATTTTGTCTACCTCTTCATGTCATTTCTAAGGTTTTTTTAAAAAATAATACATCAGAAATAGAAATCCCTAAAAGTGCCATTTTCTCTGATCTACGACAGTAAACGTTATGTTATTTGCCACGCAACTTGGTGGATTTCAATCTTTTTACGAGTGAGAAATATTTAGTATCTTGACAGCAAACGAATGTTTTTTTATATTTACATCTACCCCAAGTTACAAATTTTTACCCGACAAAGCAACGCCGTTGCCGAGCTTTACTACTGATGATAAATAAGGACAGCGAGGTCGACTTAAAAAAAGGCTAAAATAGCAAATAGCTGCTGCTGATAGAGACGTCATTTCACAGTGATAAAAAATTTTCCAAATAATCAGTTTTTTTATTAACAGACTCTGTGTTATCCGCAGCGAGTTTATCAGTGTGGTAGTGTAAAGAACACTAATAAACCAATTGATATTTTCTGTCAAGAATATAGAAGCATCAGCAAATAATCTAAAAATGAACTATATTCAACTTTAACCTATGTCAAAGTTACAGATTCTGGTTTCAAATCAAAAAATGAAACAGAAATTAACGAGGAAAATGAGGATGAAGACGGCACTAAAAGAAAAAGTAACGAAAGTAATTTATCCGCAATTGCAGGAAAACAGGGACTCTCTGAACATGAAATAAACTCGAGTAAATCACAACCCGATACTGGTAATCATACTACGTTTTTCAATCCCCTTATACCTGTCTTTTCTTAAATTTTTATAAATCACATATTACTCGTTGAAAATCGATCAGAAAACAGTATAAACTGTATCAACCTAGAAACGGCAAAAAATTTTTGATTTTTAAGCAAACAGCTAGATATGTAAAAATAAAAATATTTCTTTCATACAGAATCTCTTTAAAAATCAGCAACACTTTTGCTTTTCTCCATGCTTTAAACGTTCTTCCTTTTTCTAAATAGACCATAAAGACTTCCACTAGCTTTTCCTATGATAAGCAAAACTTTAATCCTCTATTCAGTGCTATATGCTAAAGATAACAATTTTTAGCAACTCAGCCAAAAGTGTTATAATTCATAGCCTTTTTTAGCAAGACAGTTTTACTTTACAAATATTTTTGAGAAATTTAAGAAGCGTTTCCTTTTACTTAATTTGCAAAACTCTTCAGCCTTTGGTCTTCAAGCTTCCTTAACAGAGTTCGTGTCAAATAAGCTTGGAATTTCCAGACAAATGATGCACTGAGTAAAAAGTCTTTGCGCAGTAACACAACGCCTCAACGCTTCAAATTTTTTTGAGATTTTAAATTTTCCAAATTACATATAAGGCCGCCAAACAATTAAGGCTCAAATTGGCACTCTTGTCGATTGACGGCCCCAGCACGCTGATTGGCTAGCTGGTTTTTGGAGGAAAAGTTGAGGAAGGGGACACTGAAGGGGACGGCAACAAAGGGAAGGGAGAAGCAGCAAAGGAAACCGGAAAGCAGCAATGAAAAGGCGACGGCAACGGCGGCGCAGCCACAACGTCTTTACTCGCTTATTCACACGTTTATGTACATCTTAAAAGTCACTGCGCTAGTGTTGTAGTGTGGTGTAGTGGTAGTGCTCGAGCTTTCTGTGTCAGAGCTTCTGGTTTCGGGTCCGCACAGCATATGGTAAAGCGATGCTGCTGCATTGCTTCCAGTCTTCATGCTACAGCTTCTAGTTTCCAATCTACAACTACGAGGAAAGTAAGTTCCTACAGTGGCACATTTTCTGAATACTCTAGATTGAGTAAGACACGGGGGACGGAAGGGGCACTAGTAAGCTCGCGTATGGACGAATTCGTACGGGAAAAATGTATAAGAGCAATGCGATGGACCACCTTTGGGCCCAAATAGTGCAACACTATTTACCGCCCCCAAGTCTCACTTGAAAATGCAAGCTGGTCTATCGGCTCTTAATTGGTCTGCCTCATGACAGACCAATTTTTGGAAAGTTCCTCGTATAAAAGGCGCTAATGCAGCTTTTCTTCCAGGTTTCCCGACCTGAGCGAGAAGCGAAATATGAATATAAATGTAACATCAGTATAAATGCTCAGGCACACGCAAAGCTCTCTTCTTTACCCCTAACGGGAACAAACCACCAACCTTCACCCAAGGTGCTGCTTCACTTATTACTACACTTCATACCACTCGGTTCAATTACGGCTCCACAAACTGTTCTAGTCTTCATCGCCTCAATTGCCTCATACTGCTGTTCCACGTTATTCAGTAAAATGTTGCTTAAAAAGGTCAAACCCGTCTATAATGTCTCACAAATGTTTAAAAATCTGCAGCTGCACAAATAGCAGTTTTGGCATTATAAGGGAAGTTATTAGCCCTTAGCCGGGGTTGATACGGTTGACATGTCTCCTCGGCTGCTTGAAGCTGCGACGACAACGATGTCGCTCTGATCGCAGCTTGTCAAAAGAAGGGGCCTCTTTCAAGGCCTCTCCTCAACTGTGCATATGGAGCCGTCAATCGACAAGAGCTCCTTTAAATTTAAGTTAAGTGAGGAGACAGTCTAACTGAAAACAGCTGCAACGTATATTTTATCAGACGTCTAGAACTTTAAAAATTGCAGAACTTTAAACTTTGTTTACAGTGATGACAAGTCTTACATTACTTACTTCATCACACAACTAGAATTATTATAACTACTAATTTAGTGTTAACGTCAACGTCACTGTAACCACCCTAGCGGTTAGTGAACGTAACGAGAACGCCCTCTATAAAAAGCTTCTTCAAGCATAAATTGACAACAACTAAAGTAGGAGAGTAGACCGGTTTTTCTGCATCAGAAACATCATTTCGGACTATGGAATAAAAACTGTAACAGCAACAACTTAATACAAAGGCCTTGCAGAAATTACATTTTTATAATACAGCACCTTGTTAATACTTATTCCTCGATAAGAACTCGTACGTCATAAACCGTTAAAAAAGTGAGTCGTATAGAGTTTATTGCAAGCTGATAACAAAATTCTTTCCAATTACAGACTGCTGCTCACAACAAAGCTGTTTTTTTCAAAAGGTTTTGAGACTGCCTTTAACTAACTGTTATATGTAATTTTTATATTGCTGTGAAGAATTAATTTAAATTTATGCAGCATACAGTGCAGTTGGGCTGGGTCGCATTTCGAAAAAACCGCTTCAGTCATTTTCTTACTACTGTTCTCAACATTAAAGGCACTTCAAATTTCAAGAAGAAGCTAAAAATCGTTAAAATAAAGTTATCCTCTAATGTCAGAAGGAATGATATAAAACACAGGCAATAGAAAGTGAACAAGAAAATCAAGCGCGCATTCAACCATATTAGACTTCTTCATTTCCAGCACAAATAAGTAAGACCTTCCTGGCAAATACAGTCGTCAGCTCTAAGATTCTCAAACATATTAACAAAGTGAGTGATCACTTGCTAGATAGTAATAGAAACCGATACTTTAGAATCCAACACTGGTTCACCAGGTGAGAAAAAGTCCCGTGACAAAAGAGAATCTAGGGGTTTGTCCGAAGCAAGTAAAAGAAAAAGAAAAGTAGCGTCTAACGGAAATTCAGACAAAATAACGCAAGCTACCGCAGACTCGGGAGAGCAAAAGCCAGGTACTGGGAACTTTATTAAATGTATTAATTTACTTATTGTCGATTTCAAAGCACCGTTCTAGAAGTCATAGAAGTTAGAAGTCAAGTGCAAACTACTTATGAACAGTGTAATAATTACTTCTTTAAACAGAGTTAGTGTAGGAGAGGCAGAAGCACTTCGTATTAACTAGAACCCTTTTCTAATCTTAACTCCGTTCTGAAAATATTGAGATCAGTTTGTACAGTCAAGATCATTACAGGACTGTTCTATGTCATTACAGAACTGTTCCATTCTTTTGAATTCAAAAACTGTTTGATAGACTACTGTATTCTTGGCAGTTTACTGTTCTACAGTTGCTTTTAGAGAGTACAATAATTGTTGGCTACACCGATGACCATCTGCAAGGTGAGAAACTACAAAAAAAACGTAAGAAAGATGAATGTAGTCCGCAGGCAGACCCGCAAGAAAGTGACCAAGGCAAAATTAGTAAAGATCAAAACAGCAGTGCTTCTGAAAACAGAAACGCGAAAGTTCTACAGCCATACCTTCGTAACCATATTGATGCTTCTTGAACATACTTATTCAAAGATACAGGAGACCGTTCGCTCTGTAGTAAACAGCTATAAATAAGACCTAAAATCTGGAATCCAACGAGTGTTTGATGAACTACTATATTCTTGAAAATTTACTGTTCTACAGAAAAGCAGATCTGATTGCAGGTGCTAGGCAGAGTCAAGACACAGAAAATGATGAAGAGAACACTGTTGACTCGAGTGGAAATACGGGTAAGTATTGCAAGGTAAACTAGGCATTCCTTTTAAATTGACTGATGTTCATTAGAGGCCTATGTGCCAGCTGAAAATATTGGTGGCCTCTTGGCAATCATTGAATTTCTGTGCAACATTGTGAGGAAAACAAGCAGAATTTGAGTGTAGATGGAGAAAGTAGTAAATGCAACTCAATTATTTTTAAAATTAGTTTGTGAATTTAAGAATCTTGTGTGATTTCTGCAGTGCTGTACTATGTGAAATACGAAGAGTGTTTAATGTACTGTTGCATTTCTAACAGTTCACTATTTAACAGTTTCTTTCAGAGGGTACGGCGATGGTTGACCATAGTGATAATCAACCTGGAGGTGAGGAAGTAGGGGAAAAACCTAAGAAGCACGAAGAGTCTTTGCATGCAGATACGAAAGAAAGTAAGAGGAGCAGAACTAGTGGAAAGCAAGGCAGCGATATTCTCGAAAACAAAAATATGAACGATCTACAGCCGTACCTCGGTAACCATATTGATGCTCCTTGAAGGATTCTATCTAAAGAAAGGGGGAACGTTCGGTTTGCAGAAAACAGCTGATGTAAGATCTAAAATTGAAAATGGAAATGGTGAAAAACAGATCTGATTACAGACGCTAGAGAACGCACACGCAGAGAAAATGATCAGCAGAACCCTGTCGGGTAGATTGGAAAAAGGGGTAAGCGGTGTACCGTAACTATGCATTCCCTACCAGTTGACTGATGTTCATTAGAGGGCTTTTCTGTATCTGAAGATGGTGCTGACCTTTCGGCAATTGCTGAGTTTCCAAATGACATTCATGAAGAAAGTCAGCAAAATGCAAGTATATATGGGCAGAATAATGCGCAGTCAATCAATGGAAATGAGAGCGACAACGATTTTGAGAGCCCAAATTCGATTTGATCAAAAGTGTACACTGGTGATCAAAGCTTCCCACAAACATTTTAAATCTTTAAGCAGATAACCCTAGCTTAAATAAGTTAGCAGAGGCAGAAACAAAAAGTTAAAAAAAGGAGATATGAAAGTTCTTCAAAGTCAAATTACAAAATGGCGTTACCAGACGACGTATCAGTTTGCGTCACTTTTCAAGTTTTCATGTGTAGTGGACCTTCAAGCCTTTCTTCTGATGCAAAAGAAGATGAAGCGGTAAGCGTCGATCAGTCTCTTAAACGCAACTTAATGACCAGAAGTGAAAAGATAGGCCCGGCGTGATATATGTAAGAGGAAGTACTGAAAGAAATGCATAAGAAATGTTTTTAGCTTTTAAGAAGCAGGAGGTGCATTCTAAAGAGGCTAAAGTGCTTTATTTTTTACTGCTTTCTCAAAATTTTTTTAATATAAAAAGTTTTTAGCTTCTTTTCTCTCGATCACATTAAACCGTCTTAAAAATGACTTTTCAAAATCAAAAAAATATTTCTTAATTAACTTTGAACCACACTGGTTGCGGACAGTTGGTTTTCCGTACTCCTTAATACCTCATCCGTAACATGGTTGATTGTTTATGAATAAGGAAATAGGCAACAGATGTCGTTAATGCTAAGTGTTAGAAAGCTTTGTCACTCTGGCAGCCGTCGAAGCAGAGAAGTTGACCTCAAAATCATTAGTTAATTTTCCACTCAGTAAATTTTGGTAGTTTGCTGAAGAAGCTTTCTGCAGTTTCTAATAGGCCTTAAGTAGATATCCCAATATATTGATTTTTGGTTCCACATTCCGACACAGTTTCAGTGTTTGAATAATTGAGTATGTTTTGGTTTCAGTTTCAACTGTACGACAGTCACTACCTGTCAGTGAAAACGAAACATCAGTCACTTGTCGCTTCGTCTATAAGGGAAGGCCTCTCACCGTTGGCTTAGAACCTACGCAATCGCTCGGACGAACGGACAAACAAACAAATCTAAGTTTGGGCGCACCTGCAAAAGATAGTGAACGAAGCAGTTTGGGGAAAGTAAAAAACTCTGGTGTGCAGTGCTTTTATTTTGGTAAGTTAATATTTCATCCAACATTTCTACGTTCCCTTAAAATTGCTTTGCCGGAACCAGAAGATTTTGTCGAATTCTAAGAACAGGTTTTCAAAAGTAGAATATAGAAAAAGATTCCTGAGGAACTGGCAGGAG